CATGAAGTTTTTTCTGACATTTTCCCAGCAGGTTTTTGTGTATCATGAAGTTTTCCTCAGACGTATACTTTATAAAGAATTGAATTTTATAGAACAAAAATAAATAAGTAATCTTTTTTTTAGTTTGTTAATATTGTTTAGCACTGACTGACTATTCAGAATAAATGGAAACCAGTAAAATAAATTAATTTTTCATTTAAAAATATTAAGACCTTCTAGAAATAATACTTCAATCCCTGGATGAAAGACACTGGTGCTGAAAACAGATTTATTAAAGACATCACACAATGGCCACATGACTCCAGGATTTTGTTGTAGAATTCAATTTGAAGGTGAGAAAAAAAATAAAAATAAGTTACCATGCACTGTACAATAAACTGCAAAAAGTTCAAATATCTTCTTTATCAAATACATGCTGACTTACTTTAATGTACTCCCAAGCCATGTTGCAAAATCCTTTTCAACATGCTGGAAATAATGAAAGCTCTTAAAAGTACTCTTTTTCTCAAAGAATTCAGAAAGGCAGAATTATCTGCAATCCTAAACCAAAGATGGGGCATATGAGAACATTAAGTCAAAAAATAGCAGTTTTAGAGTATAGTGATCATCCTGGTAAGTGGGGGGAGTGGGTGGGTGGAGGAAATCATATGAGGCAGAAAAAGGTGAGAAAGAGAAGAGGAAGAAAGATGTATACAATTTGCACATAATGTTGAACTTCACAAAGCTTTTTACCTTTTACATTTAAGTAAATTGAATATATTACACTTGTCACATAAAGAATTTTCAGTATTTTTCTAGAAAGTACTGTCATTTTTGATGTCTGCAAAACACAGACCATGATTAAGGAATGATAAACGTGGTGTGTCCTTGTATCAACCTGTTGCATTCTCTCCCTTTTAAAACCATGCACTAGTGAAATTTTTTTTAAAAAATAATATAAATTGTTGAAAATGGCTGATTTTATTCTTTTTTTTTGCAAGTTGCAGCCCCGAGAAAATAATTTAAGTATTCAGCTAAACTGTGTCCATGCAAAAAAGTTTCTTTAATTTCATACAGTACAGTATAGCCACAGAACTTGTTTTTCAGAGTCTATCACATCTTGACCTTCACTGAAATGACAGGTGGAGCTAGAGGACTGCCACTGCTCATCATGGCGCTGCCAGCGTGTGCCGGGCTTCTTCACTTTATCCTCAGTTCCATAGGAGGTTTGATTTTTTTTCTGACCATTTCTTTGGTCTCCTGCTTGTCACCTCATGTTTCATACTACCCCACTGACTTGTAATGGCTTCATGGTCACATAGCTCCATTTCTGTGGCATAACTAGGCTTTTTGTTGGGGGGGGGGAAACAAGGAGAACAGAAATTTGTTTTTTAAAGGACAGAGAAAATAAAGATGTCATTGAAAAGGACGTTTGTTGCATGAGACAGATTTATATTAATCCATGGCTTCAGATTAGACCAAAAAATGAGTGTCACTGAACTCCAAACCCATTAGTTCTTCATAGCTCCACTCCTTCACCTGAGGACCTTCTTTAGGGCACAATGTGTGCAGCTTCCTCTGAGAACACAGGATCGCTTTGTATCCCTAGAAACAGGCTCAGAAGACACAACAGTAAGCATGCAGTGTTACCAGGGTTTGCGACCTGTAAATTTTTTTTTTTTGTAACGCTGGTTGCTATGACAGTTTTACAGATGCTATGAACGAGCATAAGAAGGTCCCGTTGAACTTTCCAAAGATGACTGGGAAGCTCTTCTAGTCAGAGGGGCCAAAGTTGGATCTACTAGGGAAGAAGGGGGGAAGAGTTTGAACCATCCAATCACCATATTAGACAACTCCAGTTCATCTAAAAGTATCTGGGCCACTCCCATAAAGGATTTATGATCCATTCGTCCATAATCTCCCCAAACAATGATCTGTTGGTAAAGTAGAAAGGAGAAAAATTTCAGTATGAACAAATAAGTAATATTAGTTTATGTGCTAAAATGCACTTCATTCATGTTATGTAGGCAATGTAAATAGCTGCATTTAATTACTGGCATATTTAATCATTCCGTTGCTATAGTACAATGACAAATTAGGAAAGCTACTTTTGTAACTATGTAGATAAAATTTAGATTAAAAGCATTCTAGGGAAGTTAAATTTACATGTGAAGTAAAGTTCACGCATTTAGTCTCCTCAAAGGAGACCATTTTTAAGCTTGAAAGCACTGACCATAACTTTGGGAATTATTTCCAGAAATTGGGAAAAGAAAGGAATGTGACAGGAGACATAGTCTATGAAGGTCTACTCTGGAAAAGTACTTTTCTACATAAAAAGGGAGAAATTCAATAAATACCTGTAAAACCTTTCCCTGTGGGCTTTCATCAAATGACAACAGCTGTTGATAAAGAGGTTCCAGTGTTTTTCTTGCCACTTTTGTTTTCTTTTTGGCTATGCAGACTCCGTTATCTAAGAGATACACCTTTACATATGGTGCTGAAAAGGAAAAAAGAAGGGGAAAGAAGTAAAGGATTATTCTGACTGAATGACTCAAACTTTGCTCTGTGTGTGTGTGTGTGTGTGTGTGTGTGTATGTGTGTGTGCATATGTGTGTGTGTGTGTTCCAAACAGGAGCCAAATTAGGTGTTGAAAGAGCTCAAGATCATGAGACTATAATCATAGGCTAGAGTTCTGAAGAAAGAATCTTAAAACATCTGGCTAAAAAGTGAAAAATAAAATCAAATGATTATATTTTGGAGTCATGGATACACTGCCTTTGAATTGGGTACTGATTTGATATAACTTTAGTACTGAAATTTGAAAATTTTATTAAGCAAGTTTTTTGAATTGAGTATTATGAAATGTCTACACAAATACATCTTATTTCAAGAATGATGCCTTACACCAGAAGTATGGGAAGTGGATGAGTGAATAAAACCAGGTGGAAATGTTTAACAAATAAAGAAAAATACAGTACAACTCAGATATTGCTAATTTGTGGTTTTCTAAGTCACTATGCAGTCCACAAGAATCTGCTTCCATTTGAGTTTGGCCCCATGGCATTATGCAACCTATATTATAAAAAAATAGATGCCCAAAATTATATGATAAGCTTAGAACTAATTACATTTTCCACCTATCCCTAAATTAGCTTGCTTTATATTTTCTGTGCATATAATCTTTAAGCAAAGGATGTGTGTGATAAGTTTAAATTAAGTTGGGATGGGGCAGGCAAAAATTATGAATGTTGTAAATTGATTTTTCCTCTGTGACATCAAAAATATTTCTTTTCAACCACTGGGGAAAATAACAAAAGCGTAGCACAAGTCAAATAATTTTAGAAAGGTTATTTAATAAACAGTATATAACATAATAAAAAATTTTAAATAGGCTGGTAAGTTAGAAGGTTCAAGATCACTATGTCAGTCAGTGAAAGATCTTACTATGAACTATTACTATTAATAACTTCACTGTCTTTCACTAGAGACATCATTTTCTCTTCAATTTGATTGTGTAGTTTATGCATAAAATAAACACCTTAAGACTACAGTGATGTTGAAGCACTAAATGTGCTATCAGTAAATACTTTCACAAAAGCATCTGTTTGTGTTTGTTTCTTCCAAACTATAGGAAGGGACACTTTTAGAATAGCTTTTATATCAGACATATTCTTAATGTATTTCTGAGGCCCATGTGTTTCCTTCATTATAATATCAAGCTCTTACTTAAAGGGGGAAATTTATTCAGAGCTCTAATTAATGAGATACTGGCCTTTTCACACGAAGTGTGACAATGTATAAATTAAATAATCTATATCTTCAGCCTTAATATATCCCCCAGAGGTCCAATTGCACATTTCAACACATTGGCAGTGTATAGATAGAACTGAGAATATTGCCTCATATTTTGCTGAAAAAATTAAAGCCATTTGCTAAGAAATCCTTCTCTCCTCCTTATTTTGGATCACTCTGATACCTCTGTTGCTTCACTCTGGTCTCACATGAAGAGGTTATGTTCTCCTTGCCAAGGCAGACCACTCTACATGCATACGATGTCTCATTCCATCCTGTCCTCCCAGATTTACAGGCTCCATACTCGCCCCTTATACCCCACAGTTAAACATTTTTACAAATTCTACGGTTCTACTGCTATCATTTTCACCTCTGTGACCTCCTTTACACTACATTGCAAACACCTTAGTTCAGGTTCTTACTAACTCTCACTCAATTGGTCTTTTTATTTTTAGTTTCTTCCTTCTCCAATATATCCTTCATAAGAATATCCAAATATTCTCTCTCATCATAGTTTCAAAGTTGCAAGGAACCTAAGAGTCAACCCATACCTAACAAGAATACCCTGCATAAGGGTCCAACTGATTGCCTTTTAAAACTGCCTCCTGAAATGGTTCAGTAGAGTCCAGGGCCTGGAGTCAGGAAGATTCATCTTTCAGAGTTCAAATCTGGCCTCAGACACGTACTAGCTGTGTGACCCTGGGTAAGTCACTTAACCTTGTTTGCCTCAGTTTCCTCATCTGTAAAATGAGGTGGAGAAGTAAATGGCAAACTACTCCAGTATCTTTGCCAAGAAAACCCCAATTAGGGTCACAAAAAATCAGACTTGACTAAAAAAACGACTGAACAACAACAACAAATACTTATCTGACTTCCAAATGACAACCATTCTAATAGTAGAAGACCATTAGAAACAGTGATAAGCCACTGTCTGGGCCTACAATCAGGAAGATGTGAATTCAAAGGCTTCCTAAAGGTTGTTGTGAGAATCATATCAGATATTTGTAAAGTGCTTAGTACAGTGCTTGGCACATAGTAGACATTTAATAAATGGCTGTTCTTCTCCCTCCTTCCAATTACCACGGTCCATATTGGCCTTCTCCTCCAGGTTAAATATCCCTAATTTGTTCACCTGTTCCTTACATGGCAATGGTTCCCAGCCCACTCCATTAATAGATGATGTGCTTCTATTAATGGATCTAAGATCACAGTAGCTGTTTTCTTGCCATATCACATTAACTCATACTGAGCTGGCAGTACACTAAAATATCCTGATGTTTTGGGGGTTTTTTTTGTGTGTGTGGCCTCTTATCTCATCATGCCTCGCTGAATCCCATACTTGTGTGGTTCATTTTTTAAACCTAGATTTAGAAACTTACATTTAACTCTTCTAAATTTCACTTCATCCCTCTGTTCAAAAACCTTCAGTAAATCTCTATTGCCTACTAAATAGAACAAAATCCTAAATCCTGGCACGATCTGTTTCCAAATGTCCTTTCCAATTTTACACACAACTTCTTTCCATTCTCTTTAATACAGCTACATTTCACTGCTAACAAGGCCCCTTTTCAGTCCGCCCCTCTTTCAGCTCAGTGCTTTTGTCCTCATTATTCCCTCATGACTACAACTGACTCTTCCTCATCTGTGTTGAAAGCTTTCCTTTCCCTTACCATCTAACTCAGTTGTTACCTTCTTCAGAAGTGTTCCCTGATTCCCCTAGCTTAAAGTAACTAAAACAGCTTCATCTGGACCTTTTTGTACTTACCAGGATATTTGTCTAGACCTGGTCCTTTGTATCATCTCATTCTATTTTATGTTATTTGAATCTGTGTCATTTTCCTATTAGATTGTAAATTGGGCAAGGTCTTTGTCTTACTTTTCCTTTGTTTCCACTGTCTTTTCACATAGTAGATAACCTATTCTTTGTTGAGCTGAATTTCAAAATGCATCACAGAATTTCAGCAGCTTTCATTTTTGCCTCTATTTAGTTTAAATTTGCAGAATCATTAACTGAACTGTGGTCTCAAAAATAATGAATATTTTTCAATTATTCAATTAAAACAAATTCTCTTAAATAGGAAGAGTAGATGAGGCATGTGGATAGCGCTCTAATAAGATAGATAAATCTCCAAAGGGGCTAGAAAGTACTCTTTAGTTCCTACCTGGCAGTGTCTTTGAACCTGGTTTTACAACAAGGCCACGGGCCCGAATTATTTCTACCTCCAATTGTCCCTTTTTGTCCATCATTCCAACCTGAATGTCACCTAGAGGGAATATAAAAAAGGGCATTAGCATCCAAAGGTAACCAAGGAGTTTCACATCCAGATATCTGAAGTGATCATTGTTTAATTTGCCATGTGCAAATGTACTTCTGGACTGATATCAGTTTTTTATGTTACGGATTCCTTGTCTAAAAACAATACAATAAACAAGTATAAATACTTTAAAATGTAACCCTATTTTTGTTCAACTCTAAAACATTTCAAATAAATACAAAATTGAAAAAAGTTCCTAAAGATTTTTTGAAATGGAGAGAATGTGACTTAGAATAACATTATCATTTACTTACATAATCACGTAACAGAAACACTCACCCATCGCTGGTGTGGCCAATGTCTGACGCCCAACTAACTGAGCTGGACCAAGGCCATCCAGAAAATCACTGAACTGGCTATCTGAGGCCAATCGAACACCAGGGAAAATCAAACTAAGAGGAAAAAAAAAATATATATATATATAAACAAGGTTAAATCTCTGTTCCTTTACTCAAAGTCAGACACATTTTCTTTTAACACATTTCTCCTTGAAACTCCTAAAACAATCAGTCTGTTATGACTCAATTGGCATGTCATAGACAATGTGGTGCTATGTTTTTTTTTTTTAAACATAGCTGTCTTATTTTCTTAGGTAGATTATAAGCTCCTCAATGGCAGGGAATTGGTTTTGTATTTGTTTGTATGCCCCACAGTGTCTATTATAGTGCTATAAACATAGAAAGCACTAATGAATCACACAATACTGAAATTGGAAGGAACCCATATGGCTTCCTAATGCAACTTATATCTGAAAATGAATCCTCATCACAAAATATCCATCAAACATGGTTTTTTAGCCTTTAATTGAAGATCTTTTATGAGGGGAGAAATCCGTTGCTTTCACAAGGTAGTCCACTCCATTTTTGGAAAATTTTAATTGTTCAGGAAGACTTTTCTTGCATCAAATCTAAATTTGCCTCTCTGTAACTTCCATCTATTCTTCTGCCCACTGAGGTCAAACAGAACAAGTCTAAACTTTTTTCATGTGAGAGCTCTTCAAATACATGAACACAACTACTATGTCTCCCCTAAATCTTTTATTCTCTAGGCTTAATATCTCCAGTTTATTCAATTGATTCTCATATGGAATGAGCTTGAGGACCATCATCATTATTGTTTTCCTTTTCCGGCACTCTCCAGCTTACCAACATCCTTCCTAAAATGTAGAGTCCAGAACTGAACACGATATTCCACATGTGATCTGACCATAGCAGAGTACAGTGGGACTCATCTCCTTAGTTTGGGACACTATGTTTTTCTTTATGGAGCCCAAGAGTGCATTCACTTTCTTGGCTACTATAACCCAATGACGAATCATTCTGAGCATGCAGTCCATTAAAACTGCCGATTTTTGGGGGATGAACTATTATCTAATCATACCTCTTCCATTTTGTCTTTGAGAAGCTGATTTTTAAAAACTCAGATATGCGATTTTATAACTTTTATTTTACTCAGTAGATGATAATTTCTATTTGATTTTCCATACTTCTCTGATTCTCTAGCAACAATTTATTTAGACTACAACTGATATCCACTGCAGATTGCCCTTTTTCTTTAGCTATATCTTTTCTTTCCCAGGCTTTAGGGCTCACCTGAGCATTCATTTCTTTGAACTTTCTAATTGATTCCTACCTTACAAGACTTCATCCAGCTAACGCTATAGTTTTTTCATTTCCCTTGGTATGTATTCTGAGATCTATGTATGCTTGTGCTGAGTCCATTCATCTGGTCAACTCAAACTTTCCTCATAAGCTGAAAACTTTTCTCATAAGCCTAGTACTATGTTAATAAATCCTCCGGTAATAAGCATAAAGGCTGAGACAGAAAATGGTTCTTGCAATTTTGAAGCAGACAAGATGATCCTATCCTTGCTCACACAGTTCACTCACTTTCCTTCAGAACTGTAGCTGTTCATGCTTCCATCTGTAGATTCACGGCTTGCCTGTCGAGTCATCCAGTTTCTCATTTCTACTGCCAGGCCAGTTTCTGTACTCCTCTGGACAGTACTCCTCAGTTTTTTGCCTCCAGCTTCTGTATCAACACAAAACAAAAAAACAGCAGTGGCATAACTAATCTGTAAAAAAAGGAGCAGTAAAGGTACTTGAGATCTCTTCAAGAAAAGAACTACACAAATACAATGCATTATTATTATTAAGATAGAAAAAAGAAAAGGTGTTAAAACAATGTTCCCCGTGTGGGAAGCAAAAAAAACAAAACAAAACACTAAGAAATCTTTAAAATGGAAGCAAGACGCACAAAGCACTATTATTTTATTCGAAGTTATTTATGACAGCACACCAATTTTTAGCATCACAAACAGAAAAGGTTCAATTTAAGTGAAATAAAAACATACTTTATTTCCAGTGAAATTTTAAAATGCTTTGTCTCATTACTTAGAGTATTATATCTTTTTTCTTTTTGTTATAGAGAAAGAACAAAGCTGAACTATTAAGGAAAGTCAGATATTGAATAATTCCCAAATACTTGTCTTTAATTTTTATATCTAAATGCAAAATAGGAAAGCTTCTCTATTTAGTAACAGCCCAATCATTTATTATAGGAGAACGATGATGTTAATTAAAAAATAATGGCAAAGTCTTCCATTCTGGAAGATGAAACCTTTGTAATGTCACATAAGAAAAGGTTTTTTAAAATGCTAGGAAAGGGGTAGACCAAAAACCAATTGAAAAATCTATCTTTTGTTCCTAAAACAGAAACGACCACAACACGCTAGGGGAACAGGAACAAAGAAAAGTGAAGCAGAAAGAAAATAAAGCAAAAGTGAATTTTGTGAACATAACAGCATTTGTAAAAATGATCATCTCAGGCTCTTGAAAAAGTATAAGTTGATCTTTTTAATAGTCATGTTAGGAATAGACGGCAGATAATTGTGTTACATAATGAAATCTAAAGGATCCTCATTTTCATTTGCGTGTAACTTGTACATTAATGAACAAACCTCACCTCCTGTGTTTCCGACCTTGCTGAGGGTTTTTCGCAGGCTCTGTATTTAGGCCTGAAATAACTTCTCTGCTCCACTGGGCCCAATTTTGTCCTTTACTTTCTTTAAAAGATAGCTAAACTAGGAAGTCTGTCAAGGGAAGTCAATTCCAAATATTTGATCCCTACACATACTCTCAAGGATAACTTCTACACAACTCACTCGCCTTCTTCCCACACAGCTGCGTCTGTTTATCTCCACATTCGTGTCTATTTCTCTGTGTGTGTTACAATTAAGATCTCTAAGTAATGAAGAACCAAGACAGTCAGAATTCTAGAGCTCGAAAAGACCTCAGAGGCTATCGAGCCAATTGCATCACTTTCCAGATGGGGAAACTGAGGCCCAGAGAATCTAAGTGGTTTGCCCAAGATCACACAGGTGAATCAGTTGGTTAAACAGCATTTATTAAGCACTTAATATGTGCCAGGGTCTCTACTAAGAAAAGGAAAGAAAGACTAAGTTTAACATTCTACTGCATCACACTGCTGCTTCTCAATTACTTACATTTGTGGTTAGTATAAGTATTCGAATAAAGGACGTATCTTTTACTCTAGGAACTGACCTCAAATAAAAAATGAAGTTATGCTGCAAAGGTGTCATTGAAGAAGAGGTAAGAAAACAGTCTGTCCAGATCTTCTGGGAAAATGTTCCAAATCTTATCTTAACCCATGCCTCAATTATTCCTAAGAATCAATGCATTTTAAGTATAAATTTAAAAAATAGATGAAAAATAGAAAGAAATATGGGTTGATAGGAAATAGCACCTGAGCTGAAATTTGACAGTATTTGGATCCTCAGAGGACATTTCAAGAGGGGAAGTAGCACAAACAAAGACACAGAGTGGGAATGGGCATGGCAGAAAAAAGGGGCTAGGAGATAAGCTTAATTTAAATACTGAATTGATAGTAGGAGATAAGGCTGGTCAAGATAACTGGGATTGGATGAAGGGCCTTAAATGTCAGAATGAGGAGTGGAGCTTGGGGGTGGAGGAGCAAGAAGAAGTAGAATGGAAAAAACACTGCTTTAGGGAAACAGAAGTCCTAAGTTAACACGTAGGCTCACTTACTGCTTTTACAAGTCATTTTAATTCTTTGAGGCTCAGTTTCCTCATCTGTAAGATGAAGATATTATTATTTTTATTACTTACCTCATGGCATAGATGTGAATAAAATGCTTGATTAATCCTAAAGTACTACCTAAGCATAAGCTATTCTTCATAATGATTGTTTATAAAATTTTCAAAATAATTAATAGCAAACATGTTGTACTGATATTGGCATAAGGACTATGTCCCATATAGGAATTTATACATTCTAAATGAATGTTTCGTTCAGTAGTAGCAGAAATGATGTAAAACAAGTAAATTATTGTGACACTGTCAAAATTAACTATTTAAAAATTAACCAACTCCTTAAAATATATACAATCACCTTAGTAGACTACAGATCTACTGAATCTAATGTGTTGGTAGATTCACAGTGATTGAACCACACCCCATCTCTCACCAACATTAATACTGCTAGTGTTACACAGATGATAAGTAACAAAATACATTAAGATGTACAAATGGATCCATAATCTCATTGATGCAGGTTTTCCCTCCAATGGTATACTGCAACCCATCCATGTCATTTCATCCTGTGTGTTTTTTGTCCATGTTCTTCCATAAATCCTCCGTAAAAGTTCTCCTTAATATGTCTGAGGTCTTTATCTGGGTCTTTTACCACGAGTACCACTGCAGCACTCAGTCTTTCCATTTGTTATTCATTGTTTTTCCTATAGGACCAGTCCCATCTTCAATGCAACACTTTCAGGATAGTATAAACCTTTGCACAATGCTATATTGATAATATGCTGTGGCCTATTTGTTGCCCATGACCATTTCAGTCCTCTCCCATTCTGAGACGCAAAACACATCTTTAGATAAAAAGAGACTTCTAGGTTCTATTGCATAAACAGAAGATAGTCACTTAATAAGGTTCATTGAAATTTTACAGAAGATATAGCACTTGTCCAGTAAATGTATAAACAACAGATATGAATATCCTATTTTTCAATACCAAAGCCTTTTGGCTACATGAATAGTAAATATTAAATCCAAATGCAACTCATTATAATAGTTTTTGCCTAATAGGTGAAAGGATCTATCACACTATTCTAAAAACATTTTGCTACCAACAAAAACTACTGACCTTTATGTCCACTTTCTCATTTCTACAATATTTTTATGAGATTAACTGATTCATATATTGAAGGTACCCAGATAAAGGTTTGAAAAGATCAGGTAGGCTTTCATAGATAATATTCTACAATAGACGAAATCACTAATTTATACAATTGAATCAAGGATGTATAGAACACAAGATCCCACTCTGCTTACTGTCTGTTAACTATGAAAAAACATTTGTTTAGCAGAGTACACCGGTACCAGGAAGGATATCTTCCAACAACGTATTTCATAAGAATATGTCAAAAATCCTTGAAATCACTAAAAAGAGACAATACTTTATTTGAACTTTTGTTCAAAGTCATGACACTCCCTAAACAGTTCATTAATCTTGAATTCATGGTCAACAGCACTGTAACTCATGCCTGAGTGAAGCATATCTAAAACACATGTTTTTTCCTTAGAGCACTTCTAAGACTTCCTGCCCTTAGGAACACTGGACAGTACCATAGCACCACATTTGGAAGCCATTTCAAACAATGAAATCACCAATAAAAAGAATAAAAATGTGAAAAACAAGTCACTAAATAAATTGCAAAAAGGATACTTGTTTACAATATGAGAGCTGAAACAAAAAAAGCAGTGTATTGCCTTTTTTGACCTCAGCTGGGAACGTGAATGTCTGGTGACTCAAATTTTTTGCCATTTTGTACATTCCACAAACTATTATGAAAATACCATAAGCATTGGTTTTGGAATTACAAATAAATTTTTACTGAATAGATGAATTTGCAAATACAGAATTTATGAACAATCAGGATCAACCACATATCTTATTTTCATAAAAATGTTAAAAAGGTAGAAAACAAAGTATAAAGGTCAATAGTTTTTTATATTAATAAGGTCTGAATTTTTTATTTTTTGAAATATTTCATAGAATAAAATGACAAAAAGAGACAACATATCAAAACTTACATGATGCAGCAAAATTAATATTTAGAGGCTGCTAAAGGATTATTTTATAAAGCTAAAAAAATAACAAATTCTTCTGGAATAATAAAAGGTAAATATTCTCAAGGGAAATAATGAAAAGAAAATGTGAAACAATAGCAGTACCAGATCAACTAGACCAGAAAAATTATTTGGTACTGGTTAAGAAACACAGAGGTTAATCAGTAGAACAGATTAACTATAAAATTTACAGAAGCAAATCAAGAGTAGCATAGTGTTCAACAAACCCAAGACCATAGCTAACTAGTGTAAAGACAATTCAACAAAAATTCATTCATTCCTAATTCTGGGAAGACTGGAATGAAGTCTGGCAAAAATTAGGTGGAGAACAATATCTCAAATGATATAGCAAGAGAAGTTCTCAATGGATACATAACTTAGCCATAAAAAATAATACTATTTACAAATTGGATGATCAAGGATGAAATTAATTCTTATTTCTATAGACAGTGAAGGAGTTCATGAACAAATGAGGAATTAGAGGATAATAAAAGATAAAATGGATAATTTTGATTACATAAATTTAAAAAGTTCTTGCGTAAATAAAAAAAGGCAACTAAAATCAGGAGGGAAACAGGTAACTGGGAAAAAATCTTCGTGTAATGTTTCTTTACTAAAGCTCTTATATCCAAATTGATTAGAATCAGAGTCATTCCCTAACAGTAAATTGTCACAAGATATGAACAGGTAGTTTTCAAAAGAAAAACAAACTAGCAATAGTCATATGAAAAATGCTCTAAATCATTAAAAATTAGAGAAACACAAATTAAAATAACTCTGAAGTTCTATCTTACAATTATCATATTGGCAAAAATTATAAAAAAGAAAAATGACAGTTCTTGAAGAGACTGC